ATGAATTACCAAATGAAGATCTCCTTCAAACCCAAGTTTAATAGTAAGACAGTGCACTTGTTTCCCTCACATTACTGAAAAACCCATCATCACTCTCACAAAACCATGAGAATTCCTCCACTTCCTCTAGCACAAACACCCAAAACACTAGACAGCGACACAGAATCAATACAAACCCCTTTCCTAACATCAACCTAAACATCTCCAAAGCCTCAACAACTCTATCCTTCAGCGCTAACCCACCCATCATAGTGGTAAAACTAACCTCATTAGGCGCATCCATCTCCCCAAAAACTCGACCGCACACTCGTCCACCCCACTTGCATACACACACAACAAAGCATTACCTACATACATATTCTTATCAAGTCCAATCTTAACCGCAAGGCCAGACACCTCCTCCCTTGCACAACATCCAACACCGCTGCACAAGCACTCAAAACACTAGCCAACGTGAAATGGGTAGGCACATAACCTTCCTCAATCATCCTACAATAAACCCTCCCGCCTTTTCTTCAAACCCTTTTCGTACCAGTGCACTAATCACATTATTCCACGAGACAACATTTCTCTCCGGCATTTCATCGAACATTTACGCCAGTTCTAATTTTGGGCTTTGCATTGGGCACTTAAGATTGCGTTCCAAGAAAAGATGTCTCTACGGGACATTTTATCGAACAGTGTTGGGCAGATTTGGGTTGTTGCATTTTGAGTATAATTCGATGAGGCGATTGGAGAGGAAGGTGTCGTAGAAAAGGCCATTGCGAAGAATGTAAGCGTGAAGAAGCTTGCCTGATAAATGGGCTTTCTTGTCTATGCGATTGCAAGAGATTTGCTAGCGCAGGAAGATGGTAGTTTTTTCTGTTGCATTTTGTTTGGGCCGGTAAATTATGAGTGTTTTGTCTCAATTTATAGTTTTAAATTAAATTGACCTATTTGTTTATAATATTTTTGAGCTTATAATTACTTACGAGACAAAAAAAGTTTGAGGGAGGTATTATTATTATTTTTTTATTTTTTTTTTATAAGCATTCTGTTTATAATGTTTGATCAAGTATATTCCACACACTATCCTTGTTTAATTTTAAATTTCATGTATACTGTTATTAATATATACATTTTTTTGTTATTTATAATAAATATACTTATAAGCCACATTTTACAAATACGTTAACTATTTATTAGTCACTTATAAATCTTTAACCAAACCATATTGCTTAAAATTTTAAATGCTTATAGCTAAATTTTAAGCTAATTTTCATAAGTTCAGACAAACATGGGTTGATTTTGTAAGAAAAATAGGTGGAGATGTTTCGTGAGTTACAATTTTACCCTTGAGTATCATGACTAACAATTTCCACCAACCATATTGAAAATAACAATTTGCCCTCATAGTTAACTTTCCATTAGGTGGCGTTTTGGTTGAAGGTTTCCTTCGTGTACTCCAGTAATATCATCTTATGTCACTAATATTATCATGTTTGGCTGTCAAATAATAAAAGATTTCAGTAATCCTCCAATACCAATGATAATCATTGTTAGTTATATAGGTGGCAATCTGAATACTATTATTTTCTTAAGTATTTTAAGTTACTTGGTAATCTTAATTTTGTTATAATTTTATCCCTAATTAAAAAAAAAAAAAAAATTGGATACTAATGCCCTTATTTTGAAATCAATTTACAAGAATATTTATGGACTATTTTATCCTTACGCACAAGATTTTTAGAACATTATTACCCTTATACTTTAACAAATTACCCAAGACCATAGCCGGATCTGGCCACCACTGTTGTCTGCCAACCGCCACCATCGACAGTCGTCAGAATAGTGCACAGTTGGCTTGACTAGGATCTGACCGTTAACAGTCATGGTCTGGTCGGAAACAGCCAAATCAACGCATGGTCGATCGTGTGTCGTTCTGGTGACTGTCGACCGCGGCCGACAGTGGTGGCCAGTGACCGACAGTCATTTTGGGTGGTTAGAGGTGTTTTGGCTAATTTTTAATCTTTTATTGTGGCTGGAGTGTTTTAGCAAAATCTCAAATATAAGGGGTTAAAAGAACCAATCTAAATAATAATAATAATATTAGAAAATAAGGATAATTCAGTAATTTATATAACATACCCACAAATTTATTATTTCCAAACAAACATATTAATTATTTATACCTACTAATTTATTTCAATCTAACTGAACATATTTAATATAACATTCATAATATTCTTCAAGATAATTGATATTCTTATTAATATAATATTCTCAATAATACAATATTCTCTAAACCAAAAACCCCCTTTAGGAGGCGTTTGGTTCATGAAATATTTGAAAGTTAGATTACCTTGAAGATTACTGGGAATCTTTAGAAAAATGTGTTTGGTTAATTGGTGGGTATGTTATATTAATATGTTTGGTTGGGAGGAATAAATTGGTGGGTATGTTATTTAAATTACTGAATTGTCGTCTAATTAAATATTATTATTATTATATTATGTTTTAATATTGATTATTATTTGGATTATTATAACCCCTCTGCATTTAAAAGCTTAGCAAAATCAACCTCATAATAAAAGTTTAGAAAATCAACAAAACACTCCCACCAACCCAGCCACTACCGGCCGCCAGAAACCACTGCACGNTCGTGAGTTACAATTTTACCCTTGAAGTATCATGACTAACAATTTCCACCTACCATACTGAAAATAACAATTTGCCCTCATAGTTAACTTTCCGTTAGGATGCGTTTTGGTTGAAGGTTATCCTTCGTCACTCCAGTAATATCATCTTATATCACTGATATTACCATGTTTGGCTGTCAAGTAATAAAAGATTCTAATAATCTTCCAATACCAATGATAATCATTATTGGTTATATAGGTGGTAATCTGAATACTATCATTTTCTTAGGTATTTTAAGATTACTTGGTAATCTTAATTTTGTTATAATTTTATCCCTAATTGAAAAAAAAAATTTGGATACTAATGCCCTTATTTTGAAATCAATTTACAAGAATATTCATGGACTATTTTATCCTTATACACAAGATTTTTAGGACATTATTATCCCTGTACTTTAACAAAACCCAAGACCATAGTTGGATCTGGCCACCACTGTTGTTTGCCAATCGCCACCGTCGGCATTCGTCGGAACAGTGCACGATTGGCTTGACTAGGATCTGACTGTTAACAGCCATGGTCTGGTCGGAAATTGCCAAATCAACGCATGGCCTGTCGTGCGCGGTTCCGTTGACTACCTACCACGACCGACAGTCGTTTTGGGTGGTTAGGGGTGTTTTGGCTAATTTTTAATCTTTTATTATGGCTAGGGTGTTTTCTCAAATATAAGGGGTTAAAAGAACTAATCTAAATAATAATAATAATAATAATATTAGAAAAAAAAAAGAATAATTCAGTAATTTATATAACATACCCACCAATTTATTCTTTCCAAACAAACATATTAATTATTTATACCTGCTAATTTATTTCAATTTAACTAAACACATTTAATATAACATTCATAATATTCTTCAAGGTAATCGATATTCTTATTAATATAACATTTCTAATAATACAATATTCCCTAAACCAAAAACCCTCTTTAGAGGGCATTTGGTTCAGGGAATGTTGAATTGCTAAAAAGTTAGATTACCTTGAAGATTACTGAGAATCTTTAGAAAAATGTGTTTGGTTAATTGGAGGGTATATTATATTAATATGTTTGGTTAGGAGGAATAAATTGGTGGGTATATTATTTAAATTACTGAATTGTCCTTTAATTAAATATTATTGTTATATTATTTTTTAATATTGATTATTATTTGGATTATTATTACCCCCTGCATTTAAAAACTTAGCAAAAACAACCCTATAATAAAAGTTTGGAAAATCAACAAAACACCCCCACCAACCACTGCCGGCCGCCGACAACCACTGCAGGCCGTCGGCAACCACTGCAGGCCGCCAGTAGCCGGCAACCACTGCAGGCCGCCAGTAGCCGGCAACCACCGTAGGTCACCGATAGCCGACAACCTAACGGCGCACGGAAGGCAAGAAATGGCCTCTGTGCGCCGTATGGCCATTTCTGGCTAGAGATCTGGTCCAAAATGGCCAAACGTGACAGATTTGGCTGTCGACGGCCAGATCGATGGCCGTTAATGACCACAGACAATTGTTGGATATCTGGCTAGAAATGGCCATATCGGCGCACGACGACCATTTTCGGCATTCCGTGTGCCGTTCTGGCGATGGTTGCAGGCGGCGGCAGGTGGGTGGGGGTGGTGGCTTGGGTGGGCTGCAATTTGTTTTGAATTCAAGGGTAATTTTGTCCAAAAAGTTAATTTATTGTGGTAAAATAGTAAAAGTCATATTCATATAAATAAATTTAAAAATAAGGGTATTATTGTCCTAAAATTTTATTAATAAGGGATATAATTGTAACAAAAAAAGATAACCCTAATAATCTTAGAATACCTAAGAAAATTGAGGTAATCAGATTACCTCCAATATTACCAATAGTAACCACTATTGGTATTTGAAGATTACTGGTATCTTATATTACTTGACAACCAAACATGGTAATCAAGTAATATAAAATGACTTAACCTCAATAATCTTCAATAACTCTCAACCAAACGCCCCCTTAGGGTTTTGATGTTCAATTGAGTGGACTAAGAGGTAAATTGCAGAGACAGTCAAGAAAGAAAATTGTTATTTAATGATATTTTAGAAATTAACTCATCTTTCACGTAAAAAAAATAATTTTGTTAATTATTGCTCACTAATAAGATTTAGATTTTTGTTTTTTAATCAAACGTATTAATTTAAGTCAAGCAAAACCATAACCAAATTTTCTCTACAAATTCACATTTCTTCAATCTCTAAACACTAGACAACATAAAAAATCTATTGCTGGTGTTAGTTTACATATTTGAATACAACTTATACAAGTTTGGTACATAGAATTTTCAGTCTTTGTTTTTCCCTCCTCCCAATCACCATTTAAAATTTATAGCTCACAGCTTCTTGAAAATGTAGTAGCTTTATTTGCTTCAATGAAGATGCTTTGTAATTTGTACTACTCATGATGTACCAAAGAAACAGAATCATCACGTCCTCACACAAATTTATTTTTTCATTTAAACCAAAATTCATACACACAGTAACTAACTCTAAACCCTTGTGTCAAAACACTCGAACTCCTCTTGCAACTCATCTAGGTTCGATCTTGGATGCTTTTTCTGACCACCCTTTTGCTCTTCAACGAGCTAATAAACAAGTCCATGCCCAGTTCATTGTTAATAAAATCAGCACCAATGCTTCACTGGGTGCAAAGATTTTGGGTTTTTATGTTCTTTGTGGGAGTTTTATTGACGCCATTAACATGTTTTATAGTCTTGAGTTGAGGACTAGTTTGCCTTGGAATAGGATGATTAGAGTGTTTGTTCAAATGGGTTGGTTTGATTTTGCGTTGTTTTTTTACTTTAAGATGTTGAGTTTTGGAGTTGTTCCTGATAATCATACTTTTCCCCCTGTGATTAAGGCTTGTGGTGCTTTGGAAGATGTTAGATTAGGGAGGATGGTGCATGAAACGATTCGTGAACTGGGGTTTGAGTTTGATGTGTTTGTGGGGAGTTCTTTGGTTAAGTTTTATGCTGAGAAAGGTTGTATTGATGACGCGCGTTGTTTGTTTGATGAAATGTCTGAGAGAGATTGTGTTTTGTGGAATGTAATGCTTAATGGGTATGTTAAATGTGGGGAATTAGATAATGCTATGAAGGTGTTTAAAGAAATGAGAAGAAGTACGATTAAACCGAATTCTGTGACATTTGCTTGTGTTTTGTCTGTCTGTGCTGCAGAAAGAATGATTGCGTTTGGTATGCAACTTCATGGTGTTGTGGTAAGTTGTGGATTAGAGTTTGACTCGCCGGTGGCAAACACTCTGTTGGCTATGTATTCAAAGTGTGAGCTGTTGTGTAATGTGCGTAAATTGTTTGAGTTGATGCCTCGGATTGATTTGGTGACATGGAATGGGATGATTGCTGGACATGTGCAAAACGGTTTTATGGATGAGGCTTTAGATTTATTTCGTAAGATGATTTCTTCTGGTGTCAAACCAGACCCGATAACCTTTTCAAGTTTTCTTCCTTCAGTTGCTGAATTAGCAAGTCTTAAACAAGGTAAGGAAATTCATGGTTATATAATACGGAATGATGTGCCTTTGGATGCATTCTTGAACAGTGCACTTATTGACTTATACTTCAAGTGCAGGGATGTGGAAATGGCATGCAAGATTTTTAACCAGAGCACCACAAGTGATGTTGCAATTTGCACAGCAATGATTTCTGGCTTTGTACTTAACGAGATGAACAATGATGCTTTAAAGAAATTTAGGTTTTTAATTCAAGAGAAAATGAGTCCAAATGCTGTAACCCTGGCAAGTATATTACCAGCAATAGCTGGTTTGGCTGCTCTGAAATTGGGGAAGGAATTACATGGTAACATCCTAAAGAACAGACTTGACAGGAAATGTCAAGTAGGAAGTGCAGTGGCAGACATGTATGCAAAGTGTGGAAGACTGGATCTTGCTCATAAAATTTTTAGAGGGATGTCTGAAAAGGATGTTATTTGTTGGAACTCAATGATCACAAGCTGTTCCCAGAATGGCAGACCAGAGGAGGCCATTGATCTTTTTCGTCAAATGGGGTTGGGAGGAATGAAATATGACCGTGTGAGCATATCAGGTGCTCTTTCTGCTTGTGCAAACTTACCTGCACTGCATTTTGGGAAAGAGATCCATGGTTTCATGACAAAAGGTTCTTGCTGCTCTGATCTTTTCGCTGAAGGTGCATTGATAGACATGTATGCTAAATGTGGAAAGTTGGATTTTGCTCGTGCTGTGTTTGACATGATGCAGGGGAAGAATGAGGTGGCGTGGAATAGCATCATTGCTGCTTATGGAAGCCATGGACGCCTTAAAGAATGTCTTGCTCTTTTCCATGAAATGTTGGAAAATGAAATCCAGCCTGATCATGTCACCTTTCTTGCGATAATCTCTGCTTGTGCTCATGGTGGCCAAGTTGACGATGGAATTCATTACTTCCATTGCATGACGCAAGAGTATGGGATCCTGGCTCATCTAGAGCATTATGCATGCATGGTAGATTTGTTTGGGCGTGCTGGACGTTTGGATAAAGCATTCGAAACTATAAAAAGTATGCCATTTTCACCGGATGCAGGTGTATGGGGAACACTGCTTGGAGCGTGTCGGGTCCATGGCAATGTTGAGCTAGCTGAAGTAGCTTCAAGACATCTTTTTGATTTGGACCCACAAAACTCTGGTTACTATGTGTTGCTTTCAAATATACATGCTGATGCAGGACAGTGGGGAGATGTGCTTAAGATACGACGTTTGATGAAAGAAAGAGGAGTTGAAAAGGTTCCTGGGTATAGCTGGGTTGAGGTTAACAACGCGACCCATATGTTTGTTGCTGCCGATGAAAGTCACCCAGAGTCTGCTCAGATCTATACATTACTGAAGAATCTTCTTATAGAGCTGAGAAGAGAGGGTTATGTTCCTCGACCTTATCTTCCAATGCATCCACAAACCTTGAAGTTGTGATTACTGAAGAATGACCCCTTCTTTCTTCCTATCACCAAAGCAATGATCTTCCTTCAAACTAAGGTACTGCACATCCCTCTACGTGAACTATACTTTTTTATTTATCAACTTGTAAATTCTACAAGTAGAACAAATTGGTGACAGTGACAATAGAATTTGAATTGAAGATGACAAGATTTTAAAAAATGTAGTATAATAGATTCTATTGTAATATTATGTAAAAGATAAAAATAATATAAATTTGATCACATTCTTTAATCTCAATGAACTTGATTGTGCGAATATAATGCTCTTCTAGCTATTTCTCCTCCTTGCTAGATTAATTGCATAAACTTTTTTACATTGAATTCTCTTTTTAGATGCATAAAAGTATCCATAAAATTATATAATAGAAGTACAGTTGATAGGATATTAAAATTAAATGGAAAGAGTTTACAGAAACTATAAAAGCAAAAACTGTCACATGTATTACAAAAATATGAAGAAAGAACACTATAAAATCAAAACAGTGGCTTTCTAAAGAAAGTGAATAAATGAAAAAAGAGCCAACGCCTCATCGGAATTCTTAAATTCTTCACGGAATTATTAGTTTTTTGTTGATGAGCTACAAATAAGAAAATTAATTAGCTTAGCTGATTTTTGAGTCTGAAATCATAAGTTTAATGACAGAAACCAGAAGAACAAAGGAGTTCAGCAAACATGAGATCTGGTCCTGTTAATAGAAAAGCTAACCTTCAGGAACATGACAAGAACTACCAAAAATCAATAATAATTAGATCACATGTAAATTAAACTTAAAACAGATTCTACGAGTCCATAAGAATAAAATGAGATACTTGAGATATTTTTTCTAGACGTAATTTAGAAAACTAAGTTTATTGTTCAAGTTCAAATTAATTTGACAAAGCTGATTAGATTCCTTAAAGGATTAGTGGAAATTCTAGTTAATGATACACACATTCATGCACCTAAACTATTACATCTTACACTTAATCTAATACATTACAGAACAGAGTTGATTGAAGTCAAAAGAAAAACATTTAATATTGCCAATTGAACTATAAAATAGCTTTCTTGGCTGCTAGATTAAAATAAATGAACAATTGAGAGTTTGTAACACGTTTTGAATCTCATACTTCAGTTTACGTGCAATAACCACACTCATTGGTAGTTGAGGTTTCTTCAGGAATATTTATGCATATTTCTTCAGGAATTTCATTCACGGTGTGATAAATTTTGATTTTGCTGTGGGAAATAATTGTAGGTTAATATTAATCCTGTATCTTCTTGTTAACAGATCTTGAGCTATACTTGTTTGTGATCCCATTTGTATGCCTGAGTAATCGAGGACATGAATGCACATTTTTTTTCTTTTTTAATGACCGGGGGTGTCCGGATCAGCTTACACACACCTCAACTAGTCCTTTGAGAACATGAAACTACCGATCGGGTAAAAACTCTAGTAGTTATTCCTATTAGCACTCGAGGAGGGACTCGAACTCAGAATCTCTTCGATAATACACATAAAAGTCTCTATCGAACCACTCAATTAGCCAACATGAATGCATATTCCTAAGTATTATGCTCAAACTCTTGCATTTCCCATTTCTATATCAGAAATTCTAAAGATTCATGGGGAAAGTCAGCTTTTAAATGTGGTTTGTAGGGTAGAGGTGTCAGATGGGTCGAGTTGACCTAACACGATATGTCACAATCTAACTCATGTTTTCTTAGAAGTACGATGACACACGACTCATTAGTCTCATTATCATCACACATACTTCATATAGGCCATGTTAGGATGATGTTTCAACAGTCTTTTGTGTAAAACACATTTCGATCTTGTTGTACCACTACTCTGTTAATGGCCTGTAAAAAGTCTTTGGTTTTGGTATAATTAAAGCCAAATTGTGGCTGCAAAAGCATGTCTCTAAAGCAAGTGACACCTATTTGGAAAAATTAGGTCTTATCCTGAAATGGGATTTTCATCATGTAATCAACCATTAATATGGTAGTAATAATTGATTGAGATTTTCTTAACAAGGTTGGTTACCAATTTTTTTTTTTTTTTTGGACAATGGAGATCATGGTGTTGATGGTGACATATCAATAGTGTTGGCACGATTAATATACTAATGAGGAAATTGACAAGTTATTGGTCCGATAAAATTATCGATTATTAATATGAATAGATGGATTGATATCTAAAATAGCATTCTAGACGTCAATATGTTTTTTAGAACACTTATTCATGCATGATCTAAAAAGAAAATTTCCTAATTTATAAAATCATATGAATCTTATAATAGAAATAAATTAACCATCAATTAAAACAGTCATATTCTGGAATATTCACGATAAATTTGGATCATATTTTGGGTTTCATAATCTTTTTCACGTCTCATTGAATATGAGATAAAGCAAACACAAGATCCAATCAACGAAGAAGTAAGTTGATCTCACTATGCAAGCTTTCTAAACCGACCAAACGGTGAGTCTAATCGATCAGGAGCAATATTGGGATGAGTTGAACCTACATTAGTGAAGTGAATATATCAATTTTACATGGAATATTTCCATGAGTGAATTTAAAATTTAGTGTTAGTAACCATCACTGGATGATCTGATAGTAAAAGAGCAAAAAGAAATTTCATGAGCTCTTGAGTTCGAGTCCCCTCAAACACTTTGACCATTAGGGTTTTTACCTAGACGATGATTCCAAGGTTTTAGAGGATTAGTTGAGGTGTGTGTAAACTGTAAACTAACTTGGACACCATCGGTAATTAAAAAAAAAAAAAAAAGGGTTTAGTGTTAGAAAATTGTTAGTATATAATTAATTGATGTTGCTGCAAAAGGATGTCTCTAAAGTAAGCAACATCTTCTAGAAAAAATTAGGTCAGATCTTGGATTAGGTCGTGTGCATCACGTAATCAACAATCACAGTGGAAGTACTAATTGAATTATTAAATTAAAAGTTATTCTTCTTTGATTTGATTGGGATTTTCTTAACCAGCTAAGCCACAGAGCATATTTTATTTATTTATTTATTTTTTATATCATGGTTTTGATGGTGACCTCATTACTTTGGCATTATCAATATGCTAATATTTTAAATAGGAGATTTTGATAATTTATTATTTATTTGGTATCAATTTATATTCTTTTTTAGATGTGAATTTATTATTAATATTGACCTTTGTTAATATTATTATAATTATAATATAACTAACAACTACTAATAAAGAAATTTATTTTATTAAAAATGAGATAACCATCTCGATCAATAAAGAGATAGTAAATTGTGTATAACATTATTATGATAGATAACCCGAAAATTTGAATTTAAGAATTCAAGGAAAGAAGCAAACCTCTTTGACAAAGGTTTTTTTTTTTTTTTTTTCCTGGAAACCTTAAGGGGAGTATTTTTTTATTTAATCATACATTAAGGGGTCTATTTTCTTTTATTATTTTCATTTTTCAGAAAAAACAAAAATTAATTTGTTGATTCCAAATCCAAGAGATAAAAATTGGTGGGTCATAAGGAATTATTAGTCTAAAATCTGGAAAATTTTCCAGAAACTTTGGTGGGTCACTGATATTATTATTAGCTTTAAATTGATTATCTCATTGAGGACACAGCTGGGCTTCTTCACCTTTTCAATTTTTGTTTAATTTCTTATTTTTCATGTCTCTTGCTTTTTTATTAGGTTGTGGGATTTGGTACTGACCCTAAGTCTATATATATATTTATATTTCAATAAATAAAATTAAGATATTTTGTATCTCTAAAAAAAAAAAATTGTTATTATTACAAATAAAATAATTATTTATTAAATAATTTCTCCTTTTATTTAATAAAAGACTAAGAGATGGTGTCATGAGACAAAAGGGTCTTAACTCTTAAGTACGCTTGGATGATCAAATGATTTAATAAAAACTCTTGGATATATTATTAAAGAGATTTTGAGTTCGAGTCCATTTCCAGTTGCTAATAGAGATAGTCACTGAAACTTTTACTCGATTGATAGTTTCAGGATCTCAAGAGATTAGTCGAAGTGCATATAAACTGTCATTGGCACCCTTGTATTAAAAAAAAAAAGGACAAAAAGGTCTTCCCAATTCCCATTAATTAATCTTTTTTACTTTGTTTCTTTAATTGGATTAATTATCTTAATGAGATAATGACAAATTAAGTGGATTTTCCTACTGTTTTGAGATAAAAAAAAAACTCCAAATTCTTAGTTGATAGTGGCAAAATGTCAAACAAAATTAACTTAACTCACAATAGAAAGTTTCAATCAACATATATAAACCCTAAAAATTCAACAATATAGTTTTAAATGGATCATAAATCAATCAATGGATTCATATGCATGAAACACTCGATCAAACAGCAGACTAGCTCCATATTTATATCATTCAGTGATGATCCAACATCGATTTTCTTCGTTATTTATACTATATTATCCATTATCCATTCTCCATCGATCTAATCTGGGTCAGTAACGATTCAACATCGTTAAATTTTCCCACAATACAAACACTCTTAATTTATCCTAAATTATTTTCTCCCTTCTTTCTCTTCTTTTTTTCATACACAATCCCTCTAGCTTTACTCTGCTCATCTCTTATTTCCTTCAGGTAAAGCCTCACAGCCGGCCCGCCAAAAGGGTTTGTTTCAGGCCGTCCGCCGTTCTCCTCGAAGGCGGCTCGGAGCCTCCCGATAAGTGCGTCGAGGCTGCCCCACGCCTGCCGGATCGGGCAGGGACAAGGAGCCGGTGCCTGAGAGTGCCCAAAGAAGGGACAATTCTGAGCATGCACTTTGGTCTTCCCGAATTGATCGAGATATTTCAAAAATTCGAGCACATGCGCGCTGCTACATCGCGACAGAGCCAACGGCGGTCGGTGGTTTCTGAGATACTGCAGAAACGTGTTCCAATCTCGCCTTTTTTGTGTCTCGTATCGACTGAAGGAGGGTAAAACTAGCGGCGGAGAAGGAGAGGAGGCTGGAAGTGAAGATAAAACTGAATGGTGCTGATGCTGGTACTGGTACTGGTACTGGTTCTGACTGCGAGAAGAGGTGGTTGTAGAAGAGTAGCAAGAGGAGGCAGCGGCAGCAGCTACGGCGGCTGACATGTTTTCTGATTCCGTGTAAAGATCAAACGAAAAAGAGATGAAAGAAAGGGGAGGTATTTGGGGAGAATTTGAGATGAGGGAGAGGGAGGGAGAGATGGAGAGATGTAAATGGAGAATGAGTGATATATATGTAGGAGGGGAGGCAACAGGAGATGAAGAAGAAAGGTACAGATATTGAATGGAAAGTAACGAAGGAGACAAGAGGTGGCCCATGCAGGAAAAATCCACGTCCAGAAATAGTGTGATAGATTTATATTATTTATCATCACTTTAAAACGTCAATTTATAAATTATTTTATCTCATATAAATTGAAACAAAAATGTTCAAGCATCAAATCATCAACATTTTAGCATATAATATTTACTTTATAAATAGGATCAATTCTATTAATAATTATACAATAAATATTCTATATGAATATGATGAGACAAGTCATGAACAATAAAAATACAATGACAGCTCATTCTCATGTATTTTCTCTCACAATTTTAATGTGACAGTTTGTAATTAGACAGACCGAACTCGTAGCAAGCAAACAGAACTAATTTGCGAGTTGACCAATTATAAACTGTCACATCAACTCACGAATACTTCATAATTACCTCATGTCTTTCCACCTCAGTTATTTAATTAATTAAATCCTTTTAAATGGAATTAATTAAGTGGGGCTTTACAGATTGATAGGAGCATTCTTTTTAATGGGAGCCAGCTTTGTTAATTACTTGCTAAGTAATCTCACTTATTAACTTGCAATATACGACATCGGCTCCTACACGTATTCCATAATTTCACATTAGGGTTGGATCTCACCATTGACCTAGTCAATCCCTTAAATCCACCGTGATTTAACCCTGCTTATAAGTCTAACCAAACTTTAAGGTTGTTTAGTTTATTTTCCGACTAACCATATCTCCTAATTTATTTCCAAAGATGAAGTATTAAGTTCGAATAAAAAGGAACACGTTTTTTTTCTCCACTGTTTGATAGGTGGTTAAGAGATAAATTCACAATATCTTATATCGTGGACAATGGATCGAAATCTTATAGGTGTATCAAAGTAAGGTCCAAGTGAAAGTATGTGGACAGTCAAAAGAAGCTTAAGATGCCAACGAGGATGTTGCATCCCAACATAAGGGTGAATTGTGAAATCTCACATCGTTCGACAGTGTAAGGAAATATTTGTAAATATCTTGTGAGCTTTTAAGCTGTCAAAAAACGTTTTGGGTGAAAAACGCTTGCCGAAACCCAAATACAACTCGTGCGGGCTTGCGAGGGTGAGAGATTTGTTTCTTTCCATCTTTAAAGATGGAATTAAGCTTCAACGAAGATTCTGATTTCAAACTCGGGTTGGCAAAGAGAATTCGGGGAATTTCTAAATTAAAAAAAAAAACATATGCAACCAAAAAAAAAAAAGAAAGAAAGAAAAAAGACTAGACAATATCATAGTAAGTTCTCAATTATAACATGATGTTACGATACTCAATGGACAACATTACTGGATCAATATATACGAGCTTTGAATCAATATATACAAAGTTATTATTATTATTTTTTTCTCCTTTTATATGTAAAATGTATCAAAATGGACAAATATTTTATGTTTATTAATTTTTTAAAAATATGAAAAGGGAACTTGACTGTTTCCAATTGCCACAAAGAATATTTATTTCCAAATATCACATAAAAAAATATCAATTTTAGTAACGTGCACATAACAATGAGTGTTTGATTAATGATTGAATTCTAATACTATACGCTAAGCAAATTTCAATATCAAATAGTCATATATAAACATGATATATTTTTTAAGATAAAGATTGACTAATCTATATTTATTTTTTTATATATAATTCAAACACTTTCTTTAAAATAAAAAAAAATAAAAAAAAAACAATATTTTTCAAGAACAACACCAATACACTTTTCATGCGAACGGAGAGTTAAGAAAGTCACTCCTCAAGGAGTGCCACTACACAATGACTATTACACGGGGTCGGTCACCCAGGAACGCATCGCAAACTTTGGTAGAACGGTTATTGGCCGAAGATGATGGACGATGTCGAAGTATGTAAGGACTTGCCGTGTATGTCAGCAGGACAAAGTTTGCTTTTATAAATGGGTCGAACTATATATCTTAATTCTTTGATCGAATAACCAAAACATATGACATCATATCACACATTTTAGGGTTACTTCTTCACAAAGTTTAGTCACCAACCATTGCATATAGTGTTATGTTGACCTAATAATACATAAAGTCCATAAGAACTCGAGTTAGATTCAACATTTCTAGGTTTGGATTTACTTTTAAATTATTAGGGTCGGTAAATCATTTATTTACGCTATCTAACCTTAAAATAAAAAAAATAAAAAAAATCTTCCAATTAAAATTCTTTTTCGTATTAAAAACTGTAAAATTTTGTCCACCAACTAAGAACGTGTAAATAATAAAATCCGAGTCCATGGCTGACCAAGAATGTCGAGTTATTTACATCTCTAATTATATGTCTAATTCTAATTATATTGATATTTTTTTAAAAAGAAAAACAGCTAAAATAATTTTTCTTACAAATAAATCATCACAAAATAACATCTTTAAAATTCAAAAAAAAAAAAAAAAACTAAAACCAAAAAACATAGGATATAAATTACATAATAAAAAAAAAAATGAAAAAAACTAGAGAGCTTTTAACTTGTTAGGCAACTACCCAAAGAAAATGTATTGACAAAGAAACGAATTTGAGCCACAAGTCTATGGGGTAGTGAAAATAGTCAATATATGGAGTGACAACATAAATAAAATAATAATAATAAATGGAAAATTATTTATAAGATAAGCTATCAGACTTTTTTATTTGTATATAATCAATCAGTCACAATGTTGGATGGCCCATCCTCTGTACTCCTCATTTATGCAGTGGGGCATAAAATTATTAATTAACCCTACTAAAAAATGGGACTCTTTGTTAAGCCAATTAAAATTTAAATTAGAAAGCTCTTTTACATACGTGGAATGTGTTTGCCACGTGTATTATCAAACATTCGGTACACGTACACGTAGAAGTGACAAAATTATCCGATCAAAACAATATCTAGGTTGACTCGGTGTCTTAGGATTAGGTAATTATTTGACGTCTTAGGGTTAGGTAAATTAGTCGGCTCTTGGGATATTCTTAGTGATTAGGGAGTACGTTTTATCATTTTTTTATCAGGAGTGGTCATGTCAGTTTGTGCGTACTTCAATTAATTTTCTAAGACCTTAAAGTTAATAACCTGGTAAACTCTTCAATGATCACTCTTATTCAACTGAGAGAAATCGAACACAAGACCTCTTGAATAATACATTCAAAAGTCTCTATCATCCCATCCGGAAGCTCAAGGGTGATTTTGTTATATTATTTGAGGTCCCAATCAACTTATCTACCTCAGCTATTGGATTTATTTGTTGATGTTACATTTGATTTTGTTTTTATTTATTTATCTTAATCAACAAGACAACAACACGTAACAAACCTCGCCTTGGGCCCATATATACATTGTATTTATAGTAAAAAAAGGCCCAAAAAAATGCACAAGTTTTGGGCTTCCAAAATTGTACACGTATGCTAGAATTATTTTTTGTCCTTGTGGTTTCGGTCTACTAAAATAAAAAAACAATCATATCAAATGAAGTAAACGACTTTTTCCCACCTAAGGTTTGTCTTAACGACCCTTTCTGCTTAAAAAGTTTTAAAATATCACTTTCTTACCTAAAATTTATATTCCGTTAATATTACACTTTACTTTCTTAGTCAGTGTTGACGAGTTACCAAGAGCCAGAGTAAGAGGAGTTTTGTAGAGTAGAGACCACTTGATCTAATAGTGGTGACCGATGAATATTCGTCGCTGAAATCAATCAGAAATCAACTAAGAACAGAAAACCCTAACTTTATAATGGTCGACAATCGACGAGAAATCAAGTGTCGAAGTGAGAATAGGGGTTTTGTAGAGAGGAGGAGATCAGATGTTCAAACGGTGGTGATAGAGATATTTTTTGTTGCCAAAATCAAATTTGGATAGTAATGGATTATTAACTTTGGGTGAAAAAGTAGTATTTTGAAAATTTTTTGGGTGGAAAAAAAGTAGTTTATCAAATATTAATATTTTGATTCTTTGACTTAGCCTACCGTTAATTGAGTTGAAAGTTTAATTAAAAATGACAAAAAACATCCTTCTAAAAATAATAAGAAAATGCAGTGGTTCAAATTATATCAATTTTGTTTGTGTAATGCATTTTTCATTATTTTTAAAGAGTTTTTTTTCATCGTTTTAGCATAATTTTCAAGTCAATGAACAGTCAAACAAAGTTCTGTTAAACAGAAGGGGTAAAGATACTTCTTTCCTCTCACACCAAAAATAGTGGTTCATCACAAGAGAACACACTGGCCAACAAATCCAGATTGCAGTCTTTCAAACCTATTTACAACTCTAGATTTGTTCGGAAACGTCACATCATCAGAATGTTACGCTTATAACATTTACAAATCAAACTCCTTTAGGTTAAAAATACTCCTTTGCATTAATAGCCAAACTGATATTGTATATGTAAAGCTTATTGAGATGGTAAGCCAAAAAAAATGTTCATCCTCCATCTCTCTATTTACTTTTTGTTAAAATGGTGAGCAATATTGCGAAGTTCCTCAAATGCATGCATTGTTTCTGCATCAAATCCTCCTGCAAACTGCATCAAACGTTAAAGAAGTCAGTCATTCATTTAAGTCTCACTACATATACANATATTCATCGCTGAAATCAATCGAAAATCAACTAAGAACAGGAAACCTTAGCTTTACAATGGTCGACAATTGATGAGAAATCAGGTACCAAAGTGAGAGAAGTTTTGTAAAAAGGAGACCAGATATTCAAATGGTGGTGATGGAGATAATTTTTGTTGTTAGAATCGAATTTGGATAGTAATGGATTATTAACTTTGGGTGGAAAAGTGGCATTTTAAAAATTTTTGGTGGGAAAGTGTCATTAAGGCAAACCTTGGGTGGAAAAAAAAGTAGTTTACTCTATCAAATATTAATATTTTGATTCTTTGACTTAACATACCGTTAATTGAGTTGAAAGTTTAATTAAAAATGACAAAAAACATCCTTCTAAAAATAATAAGAAAATGCAATGGTTCAAATTATGTCAATGTTGTTTGTGTAATGCATTTTTCATTATTTTAAAGAGTTTTTTCATCGTTTTAGCATAATTTTCAAGTCAATGAACAGTCAAAAAAGTTCTGTTAAACAGAAGGGCTAAAGATACTAGTAATCGAAATAAGTGTCCTTGAGGGGTATACCGAAAAGCACAGAGGCATAGAGCACAAATCTAAAAGACTAAAACATAATTCTTTCCTCTCACCAAAAATAGTGGTTCATCATAAGAGAACACACTGGCCAACAAATCCAGATTGCAATCTTTCAAACCTATTTACAACTCTAGATTTGTTCGGAAACGTCACATCATCAGAATGTTACGCTTATAACATTTACAAATCAAACTATCGTTTAATATCACTGATGTGACATTTCATGTTACAAAAAATCGGTATTGATAACAATACTCCTTTGCATTAGTAGCCAAACTGATATTGTATATGTAAAGCTTATTGAGATGGTAAGCCAAAAAAATTTTCATCCTCCATCTCTCTATTTACTTTTTGTTAAAATGGTGAGCAATATTGCGAAGTTCCTCAAATGCATGCATTGTTTCTGCATCAAATCCTCCTGCAAACTGCATCAAACATTAAAGAAGTCAGTCATTCATTTAAGTCTCACTACATATCATTTATTTAATATAGTCAATCATAATAGTCTCTAAGTGGAGAAAAAAAAAATAGTCGTATGTACTGAGATTTTATTGGATGAACATATGTATAACGTGATACACCAGTCTCACTTAAAATTGTCCGATTCAACAAATTTCTTCTATGTTTTACAAAAACCATATATTTATCTAGAGTCAAAAGCATCAAGTCCTTTTGTTTAGTGCTCAAAATAGAAAAGTAGACAGAAACAAGACACAAGAAAGTTATTTATGCAACAAACCTGATGAATTCTGAAAGCAAATCTCACTCCTTGAAGAAGCATATAGTCCATTGCAGGATCCTTTTCCAATCCAGCCTTTGACTGAAGTTCCATAGCAACCCTCTTCATATACTTCTTAGCCAACTTGACTGAGCCAAATTTTATCTGCAACATTAATTGATTGAATGAACGTTAGGTTTCTGAATTCAGTAAGTGCTCAATGATAAATGGACTTAATTCTTCCAAATTACAACTAAAAATTTTCTCTAGCCTTCTTTGACTGTCCCAAAATTTCATTAAGATATCAGGTTGTACCTTGCTAATGATTCCATTGTCAAGCATCCAATCTGTAGGAATTTTGAACTCCTTGCAATTGCGCATAAGGAATTCTCTGGTCCGGAAAAGGTTGTAAACGGTTCGTTCCATCCTGACAGTGAAAAGAGAAACCATTATGAACAGGAGACATTGGCTGAATAGATTCCAACAATTTTTAGAGACTCAATCTTATTGTCTAGAGAATTAGATTCTTACTTCTCAGACAAGGCTACCATTTTCTTCAGTGCTATGTCACAAGGCACTCTGGCATCATCCTTGTAATAACACACTTCAGTCTCCAACTTCTTGAGATCTCTGTACCCGAATGCCGCTTCACGCAATGTGTCAGCTTTCTTCTCTGGCCAATCAAAGTGCTTTAGAACTGCCCTTTCATCCACCTGTTGGGAAAATGCAAACATGATTATCAGGGAGAAGATCTGGCCTTTCTGTCTAATTCCAACATCAGTTAAATTACTCAAAACTTAGGATTCAAAATTGTTATGCATCATTTCTGCAAACTGGATGCTATGCTCATTGAACTGTAGTTTCATGACACCTTCTCAATAATTTTCATATTGAAGATATTCCTAATGAGAAGGAAACCTTCTATAACACTGAGTATATAGGAATCACGATAATTTACTAACAAAGTTCTATAAAATGAAGTTCTTATTGGGAGGAGTGCAATCAACTTACAAGAAAGCAAAGTTCATCATCAAGCCACTTCACAAATGCCACAACATCTTCAATGTTCTGATAAACTGCATTATTCACCTCCCTTATCAATGACTTCACAAATTCTCCTTGTGTAGCAACGTCAGCCTTTATCTACACATAACAAATGACAATGACAATGTATCAGAGACTCCATAATTCCAAATCTGTTTTCCCTTGCCTTTCCAGCAACCAAACTACAAATAGAATTCAGGTGATCGAAAAATATATACAGATAAAGTTCTATGATATATTTAATGCTGTCATAGCAACAATGAGTAAATACTTACTGCGAGCAAATGTGAGGACCGGTTCTCAATCTCACCAATCATGCTGCTGCGAACATTTGCAACATCTGGGGCCTCAGAGATGCCTCCATTTGAAGAATCTTTTCTCGAATCCCTCTTCATAAGTGAATGGTAAAACTCAACTACTTGTGGGGCTCTCTGCACCACCCCAGTAGTACTCCTCACTGAGAACTTTGGAGGAGGTGGAGGAGGAGGCAAAGGCGGAGGCGGTGGAGGTAGTGGAATTTGAGCTGAATCATCCTCTTTAGGCCCACTGGATATAGAACAAGAAGGCCGTGGAGGGGGATTTGGTATGCGCAAAGCTCTTTTCTCAACATCGAAAGTGCTTGCCATCCTATTAATATTATTCACTTCCAGGCAGTTTTCATATTTGTGAGAAGCCAGTGGCTCTTCTTCCTTTTCCATATCTTTTGCAGAGATAAATCCATCAGATTGCCTTCTCTTTCTTAGAGTCAACTCTTCTACACTGCATTTTGATCCACTTATAGAGTGCCTTCTTCTAGGACTTCTCTCTTCTTCTAATTGGACCCAAGTTTTATCTAAAAGATTATCAGGGCATTCTAAGCTTGGCGCATCCTCACCACAATTAGGCCATTTCTTCAACTTTTTAATCAAATTTAGTCTCTTGCCAACACTATATTCTAAGCATTCATTGTTTTGGGAAGGCTGAAAACCAACAATTTCACACACACTCTCAGCTGAATCGGGGCTAGATGCTTTCTCGGTTGAACCCGAATTGCGTAACTCATCCCTTAAACATGAATTAACCCACCTAAGGTATGCAAGCTCTTCAACCTCATTTAACCTACTCATCTGTAGACCTTCAACTTGTTTACACAAGTCTTGATTTGTGTGTCTTAGCAGAGATGCCTCTGCCTTGATCTTCGTGACAATGTCACTCTAAATGATCACCACATAACCACAAACCAAGTCAATGAAACAAAAAAGATAAACAACACAACTCTATACTTAATAATTTCAGTAATTAAGATAATGCAACAAACAATTAGTTAATCACATTCACATACCTCGGAAGCTTTAGCAAGAGAGGTCAATTGAGACTCCATGGAAGAGAGTTTGCAAGCAAGATTTCTCTTTTGCATCTGCAACTCTTTATTCAATCTCCTCAACTCAACCACTTCCATCTCCAAATTCTTTGAACACGATCCCACCATCAAACCCTCACCCTCATTTTTCTCTACAACCAAACTCAATTGCTCGGCTAAATTAGTCTTCTCTTCTTCCAACAACCCCACTCTCCTAACAAGATCATCAGCCTCACTTTTCTTCACTTCTAGCTCTCTCTCAATCTCCAATATCTTTGGACTCCTTTTCAGTTCTGACAACTCGGCTTGTAACTTAAACTCCCTCTCTTTAGACTCTTGAAGCAAATTCCTCAGACTATCCAACTCAAGAAACAAATCCTTTGACCCTGAAGATTGCCTCCTGTGAGTTTGGTATGAGTGTGGATGAATTTGAGCTGGGTTCACCGAGCAAGATAAGTCTCCAATTAGCGATCTTTTTACCCGCGAATGCGATGAAACAATCGAGCCCTTTTCGCCGGCGATATCTGAGTTTGATAAAGGAAGCTTCTTGCTCACAACAATGGTGTTTTGCAATTTGGTTTTTTTATCAGCTGTGAAGCCTTTGACTATGTTTGACCCCCATGAAGACCGAGGTTTTGAATGATTAACACCTCCATTTTTCCCACTCTGAGGCTTATTTGGAGCTTGATTTTGATCAGCAAACTTCACCGTTTTGGTTTGATTTTGATTTTCCTCTCTCATTTTGATGAAAGTACACAAATTTCAAACTCAAACTCGCCTAAAACTGCAATGAAAAATCAAGACAAACTCGCCTGAAACGAAAAACGCAGAAACAAAATGAGATTTTTCAATAATCTAAAACAGAGACTCAAAACTATAAAAGCTTGAGGTTGAGTACGGAAATCACACAAATTTCCAACTCAAAACTATAAACTGCAAGAACAATCAAAATAAACTCGCCTGAAACAAAAAACCCAGAAACAAAGAGTGATTTTTCAACAATCTGAAACAGAAACTCAAACTACAAAAGCTTAAGGTTGAGTACCTTCGTTGAACCCATAAAAAACATAGGCTCCGAAACAGCGATTCAAACAGTGAGAAATTGAACTTTCGTACAGAAAAAAGGGAGAGAACCCATCAAAGAAATTTGCATTTGAAATTTGAAGTGGAATATGTATAACGTGGCGTGCAGTAATGAGAGCTCAAATTTTGAGAAGAAGAGAGAGTGAGGGGATTTGCTAGAAAAGTGGGGAAGCAGCTTTTTCTTTATTACTTTTCTTGGGTACAATTTGAATTTGAACGGGAAGGCTGAGAGCCAGAGGCCAATGCAACGGTCGGGTTCTGTGTTACCGGGTCCCACAACTTGTTGCTTCGTTAAGAGAATTACTATAAATGTGGCTCTTTTTCTTTTTACCAAAATTTAAATCCAATGTGGATTAAAAAATTTATAATGATAAATTAATATTATTTAAAAAAAAAAATTATGGGTCCGTTTGTTTTATTATTTTAGATAAGATTTTAGGAATAATATTGGGTAGTTAAATAGGAAAGTATTACAAGGTAAAATTTATAAATTTATAAAAAAAACAAAACACCCCAATATATAAAATTTTATAAAATGATAAAAACACCCCCACCGCCTACAGTGCCAAATTTGGCCACCACCGTCGGAATCTAGCCAAAAAATTACGTTACGATATAGACCGGATCTGACAGGTAGGGCGTCGATATGACCTTTTTCGACCAGATACACCACGGATCTGGTCGGAAAAAACCAAATCTACGACCAGATCTGGCCATCGACGGTCGCAAAATTAATCAACGATGGCCAAGATTTGGCCGTCGTTGACAGTAAAAAACGGTCATTTCTTTGGCCATCGCTGACGGCTAGATCGATGAATTATCGGCCAGTTCTGGTCATGGTGTAGGCCGTTGTGACAGATTCCGGCTATCACCAACGATGGTTGCCGGAATCTAGCCAGTATGGGTTTAGGGGGTGTTTTTATTAATTTTTGAACTTTCTTTTCTGAGGGTATTTAATGAAATTAATAAACTTAAGAAGTCTAAAAGTAATTAAAAAATATACTAATATTTCTCAAATAATGTGTCAAACAATATTTGGGAAATAGGATTGAGAATATAGGTAGAAATAATGTGCTAAACGCACCCATATAATACCAAAATTTAACATTTTATTGTTGTTTTTTTTTTCCAACTATCTATGGATGACTGAATAGTTTGATAGAGACTCTTGGGTATATTACTCAAAAGGTCATGAGTTCGAATCCCTCTTTGATTGTTAATAAGAGTAGTCATTAGAGCTCTTATCTGACCAGTAGTTTTAAGATCCTGAAGGATTAATTGAAGTGCGCGTAACTAGTCTGGACACCTCCGATCATAAAAAAATAAAAAAATAAATAAATGATGCAAATATATCACTAAACAATTGTATTTGTGACATTGAAATTTTATTGTCGTTGTTCAAATGTTTTTAAAGTATTGTAATTGAATCTTTATTTGTCATTCCTAGTAGTCTAAGTAATATTTGTTAGGGTTACTAACAATAATCTCCTTTAAGTATAATTAAGTAACAAACATTACCTTGCAGTTATAACAATAACAAAAATCTTCCATTGTTAATTTGGGCAATTAGGTAAATATTCGTCAATTCATCATGTTATAAAGTATAACAGTTAACTAAAAGCACGAAGATTTTTGTTATTTCTGAAATATCATGAGAACTTTATTAATTGATTAAACCTTAGAGTGCAAGATCAAAACCCCAATTTATTAACTAAAATTATTTCTTAAAAGTTAGAATCAAATAATTGAATAATTGTCCAACACTCAACTTTTTTCCTCCACATAATATTTAAATTTGGATTATATATTAAATGATTAATCCTTTTATTAAAGATAATTTCATCATATTGAATCTTATTTCAATCGAATCTCCAAATCCATCTATGTAAATCATATGCTTATTCCATTAATTCAAACCAACAACACCATAATATTAAGATGATCTTAATACCACATAATATATTTTCTAATTTTTAAATGAAAATATTATAGAATTTTGTTTGTTTGTTTAAAGTCAATTTCCTAGTAATGTCATATGTTTTTATCTAAGCAAAGATGTCAGGATATTAAATATGAATGTTTTGTCTCATTTTATTTTCATCTTGACTTTAGTCTATGTTGTTGTAAAACTCTTGTAAAATTCATTAACAAATATAAAGTAAGCGGACTGAAAAACTTGAGCAAGAACAAAGGGGCTAAAATGTTATTTCCCTCTCATTAAATTGTGTCGGTAGGTACCCACATATGAGAAGGGGGTTTTATTGGATTGAGAACAATTTTCCCCTTGTGATTTGGAAAAGTTTCCATGCACTCAAGGGTTCTAAAAAGTCACAAACGCACCCAAAAAGTTGAGAAAGGTGGAAAGAAACTTTGTTTGAAAAGATTTTCCTATCATTTTTTTTATTACATTTTATTCAATTTCTATTTTAAGAGTATAATTAATTTAGATTTTGTATAATAAAGTAAGGTTATGCCAATTACACGTTTGAAACTTGAAAAACTCCCACCTTTTTCAAGAAAAGGTGTTTTTTTTTTTTTAAATTTACTTTTTTAATATGAGCACACACATGTCCCACATGAGGTTTATTGAAATCCCAAATTCATACTCGGGTTACATTTATTCCAAATACCCACCATTAATCTAACACTGTTTCTTTTTTTAAAAGTTTAAGGGTTAAAGCGTCAAAACTATATTTTCTCAACTCACCACCATTGATTGCCTCCCATCCCTTTTTCTTCATCTCTCCTCCATTCTGACACTGAACTCCTTTACACTTTTTTTTAATACCCATTCTTCCTCTTCTCTCCTCTTTTCCTTTCTTTTTCTTCTCTCTTCTCTCTTCTAGATTCTCCTCTTTTTTTCTTCACTTCTCTCCACTAGATTCTTCTTCTCCTCTTTTTCTTCCCTCTTTCTTCTTCTCTTCTCTCCACCACTGCGTCCCTCACCATCCCCACCAAAACCCCAACCAGTTTGCTCATCGTTTGTTCCCGAAAACTAAAGAAAACACGAAAAATACTAAAGACATGTGCATCTTAAAAAAAAAAAAAAAAAAAAGCGAATAATAATTCATCTACTCTACTGAACATGATTATTGATCAAAGATCTGAGTATTATGTTTGTACACAAATCTTTTTCACCATAATAATAAACTTTTTTTAGTTATATGTATTTTTTACCTGGGCAAGGGACCGGTCCCTTGCGGGCCCAGGCCTGGGCCCGTTTGGGACTGGTCCCTTGGGACTGTGTCCAAATGGACCAGTCTCTCATGGGTCCCAGCCCATGAGAAAAATCAGGACCCGAACAGGCCTAACCTGGTCCGGACTGGTCCCATGGGCCCAGGACCGGTCCCATGGGGTTTGGAAAATTTTATTTCCCCCCTCAATTTTTTTTTATATTTGGGGGCAAAACGAAATTTTTAGGGGGTTTTTAGTATTTTTTAGGGGTTGATTAGTAAGTTTCTAAATTTAATTATTTTAAAAAAAATAAATTAATAGTTAATTTAATTTTTAACATAAATATAAGATTCACATTTCACACATTCACGCTTCACAAATAACAATTAAATATTTTTTTTATTAATTATTCATCTTCAATTATCATCGTCAACACTAGTTACATTATTCATCTGTATTCCAAGAGTTCGAGTAGTTCGGGATCTTCAGGGTGCTGTTGTAGTCTTCTTTCTCATGAGTCCAATCCCGTAAACACGTTATCACTTCAATCATCTCATCATTAAAGAACATATTCTGTCTTCAACAATCCGACCACTCGTTGAAAATGTTGACTCGGATGCAATTGTAGAAACCGGCACAGATAAATGTCACTGCCTTTGGATAATGGGGAATTGACTTTCTTGTTGGTTCCACCATTGAATATTCCATGTCAAGTTGCTCCTTCATCGTCATAAAGGTCAAGTCCACCTGTAGGTAGCGGTCATCTCATTTGGTCTATGTATGTACAGCTGGACTAGAGCTGGAGCTTCCGCTACGTCCCACATACCCCCACTTGGTCGACCATTGAGGGGGGGCTACATCAAGTCCTGATCGCCTCTCCCAGATGTTCCACTTCCACTTCCACTTCTACTGCATTGTATCTGTTCTCATATAAAGAAAAAAGCCTATCCAATTTGTTTTTAAAGTCAGTCAAATAAGACGTATAATCATGTCCTAAATATGGCCTAACTCAGTAATTACACCGTTAACTACGGATAATTTAAACCTAGGATCTGAAAAAAGGCCTAATCCAATAAGAATGGAATATCTAACCAATATCTCTTATATTTTTCTTCCATACTTGAAACATTTCACTTAAAGGTTATCATGTCTGTATTGATAAAAAGTTTTACAATTTGAACTAAAATATCTAACACTAAATTAGTAGTTGGATAATAAAATCCACTTAATGTATTAGTAGCTCATAAAAAATTTTAAGATGAATAAAAAGTTCACAAACCCCCCAATCATCATATCGACAACTTCCTCTGGATAGGTCTTCGGTTGACGAAATCTGTAATTTGTTTCGCGTTTGGCAAAGCTTTTTCCAACATCAAATAGGTAGAGTTCCAACGGATAGGCATGTCTGTACATAACTTCAAAGGTCGAACCGTGGGTCCTCTTGCTTACAATATTTGACGTACTCCTGCCATCTTTTATTGCTACCGCCGCATAAATCCGATAGCTCTACGCACCCTCTCAATCCTTGAATGTATAGCATCTAAACCGCTTTAACTATCAAATTGATGATGTGACAAGCACATCTCTGGTGATAAATTTGCCTTCACCAAGCGGATCCAATTTCTTTTCAATAAAGATATTGCCGCGGTGTTAGCACTGCTACAAGCGTTAGCGCTACAACTCTATCAGTTATAAAAATTCTTGCAAAACTTCAAGAATCGTAAAATAAATGTTTCAGCACTATGTTTTTCATATAATGGTTTAAAACCTATCAATTTTTGTTGTAAACCCCATTATGATCTAAAATATACTGTAACAGTTAAAAAATCGGTTTTTGATCTACATGCCCATATGTCTGATGTAGTGGCAATAGATAATTTCTAAAATTTGAATTCGATTTTAAGTTTA